CCTAAATCTCGTCAGCGATAATAGGCGAGAGCGGTCCATGAGGCGTCTATCCTTATATTATGTCTATGCTAACAACTGCCTGTGATTAACAATCATGTTACCTCCAGTTATTTTGATGATATTAAATATCTACAATAACTTGAATTGAAATGTGACTATAGCCATGTCTAACTCTTTGAAATTAGTGTCTGTATTTTTTTTTTAGAACACCTTACTCTTTCTCTGTCAGCGTTTCTGACACTCCTCCTTCACCACATTGTGGCAATACTTCTCCATGCTGCCCATTGACACCTTTCACAACTGTTTTCAGGAAAGCTGCAGTTTGAATTTCAGCTCAGCAGATGCGCAGGTCACCAGTTGTTTGCTAACTGCTGCCGCTAGTCTTATGGAGCCTCTTTTGCCAACTGTTCAGCAAGAAAAATAGCTATTGGTTACATTAAAAGAAATCAAAACTTCATAGTTTTCATTTGTACCATTTGGAAATATGAAAAAAAAAGTGATGAGGAGACAGCAGTTGTTATACAGACCACCGTCACCAAGACGCAATGTGAGCGTTTAAGAATAAACTCGTATCACTAGCTGAATTTCCATTGCATAATTTGACATTTGGAAAGTAAATTTGTTTATTGGAAACACCAATTTTGGGAAAACGTTTTTGTTAAAAGGTTTTAGCGCTCGGATGAAGTGGCTTTTTATGGCCGTATTGAAACGTTTATCGTTTATTTTGCCAAACTGCAATGGAGTCACTTTTTTTCTCATCACATGAGTCACATGATCAACAATCGGATGTCATTACTGGCGGAAACTACAAAGAAGAAGATGACAGGAAATGTTAGGAGGATGTCACGACATGTTTTTAATTACTTATCACATCAACAAAGTTATTCATGTGTGCTTTTATTTGTGTTTCTTATTTCATGGAAACACCCCAATTGCGAAATTGTGATTTTTTTTTTTTTTTTGTGAAAAACGGCTATTGTCTTTGTAATCGCTGCAACCTACGAAGATCATAGTTCATTTAATGCCCATTTAAACACATCAGAAGACATTTACTAAAGCTTTCCTTGGGTATACCTTCTGGATGTGACAGAGTGAGACAGAAAGGGGATTCACTTTCCGTCCTGCAGTAAAAGCTCTGGATTGCATGTCACTGCTCTGGCGATCATCCAGACCTTCCATTAGGTCGTCACCAGACCATGGCAGGAAAGGCCTTTGCCACTCTGCTCAACAACTGAAGAAATAGTCTGTGCTGATACCTTACTAGACCCTGTACGTGTGACTGTAAGTCTTGTACCTTTTTCACTTTTCCTTGGTGCTGGAATGTTTAAAGGATTATGGAGAGATTTGCCTCTTAAAGCATTTATTGGTTTATTTTTTGGAATAAACAATCATAGCTGCTTTCTGGTTGGTGGATTTTGTGAAGAAGTCCACTTGGAATCTCTTTATCAAATCACATGTTTTATTTTTAGTAACAAAAAATCATCATCATGTTTGGTCATTTCACGAGTGCATCGTTATTAAAAAAACAAAGGGCCTGGAGTAAAACCACCTTTAGAGGTTGTTCAGCATTTGCCGATTCACAGATTTGCTGATTTTTTTTTTTTTTTGTGGAAAGGAATCCTAATTATTCAGGAAACCCAACTTATCTGTTCATCTTTTTCAAATTGCTCATCTAAATATTAGAAAATGCAGCTTTAGAGCTGAAATGGTGCAGTGCTACTCTACACACAACTGGATAGCATTTGCAAACCAGCCAATCAAGCAGCGCCATTTATTTACCTTTGCACTGATTGGCTGTTCTCCTAACAGCAGAGATAATGCACACTGCAGATATCTCTCTGATTGTCCTGAGATGGTGTATATATGTATATTCAGGTAACCATCTGTTCTCATCCACATTGGTTTTCCTTTGGATTCCCTGTTAATAGTAAAATCACAGCCAAGTGTTATGTTTTATGTAATATAAGCAGCAACAGAGCGAACAGATGGCTTCAGTTAAGTTTTTGTGGTCCTCTCCCAAAAGGTGCCTTCTGGTTCGCACAAGCAAAACACTATGAAACGTATCACAACTTGTAGACTTTCTTTGTAACTTATAGATATTGGTGACGTCCCAATCCAATCCTAAGTAGTGTGTCTGGTTTGAGTCTCTTTTGTGGCTTCAGAGTTGCTGAAATATCCCCAAAGTGCTCAGAACAACTTTTTTTTTGCAAATGAATCATATTTTAAAAATTTGCAAGTCATGCTTTCAGTGAGTCTTACCAGAGAGTAAATATCCTAGCATTAGCTTAGCACTTTTACCACACTGTTCAACATTAAGCCATTGTTTCAGGTAATGGCTTTCAGAGCATCATAGGGTTTTTTTGCCTTCTTGACCTCATGTTGAAGCAGCATATTAAGCTATGCTACAGAAACCTTCCTTTGGAGAAAATATATGTTTGTCTCAAGGAAACCAATCAGCTGAAATAAGTGATGCACCAAGAAATATGCTGGAGTCTTTTCCAGATCACAGATTGTGTCATAATTGAGACCTACCAGGTCTGGTTGATAAAACTGTTCAGTGTACAGAAGGAAGCGGGTTAAAGTTAGCCATTATTAGTGTTAGAGTTGTTACATTTTCTGATATGAAAATAACTCTACCAATGAACATTAATATTCATCTTGGAAATAATTCCCAAACGGTTGAGCAGCAAGTTGATCTAAGAATTGCAGCTTTCTGGAAAATGACTCAAAGTTTCCCCCAATCTGAGGAAGTTTTGTCAATTGGCAGATAACAGGAAGAAGTCTGAGTTTTTGATGATTTACAGTAAACAGCATCAATATTGATAATTTTAATCTGGTATTAAACTGAAACTCGGTATCAGTGTGACTGATAGTAATAGGAATGAAAAAAAAAATCGAGATTGGGATGTTTCTAATGGAGATAAATGCAATTGTAAACATAAGTAAGCTTTTCTGTCCAAGTGCCATTTATTTAAGAAAACAGTGCTTATTACATGACCAAACTGTAGCATTTAGCCAGCCCTAACCATATCTTTTTTACAACTCTAGTACAAGTCTATTTACAAGATCCAACTAACAGAAACATACAATTTTCACATGGGCCTTTTTCATTAATTACAAAAATCCTCAAGTGTTTCCAAAAATAAAAAATACCGATTGATGATTGAGAGATAAATAGATAAATACACAAGCATCCAATCAGACTCAGTCATCCAATAAATAAATAGAACAATAAATAACATTCAGAAGATTCTTTGGGCAAACTCGGCCCGTTTCATTTGCCTCACAGGTTCTGGCATTGGTCTCGATGCCAGTCTGAGCACAGTACAGCACGCTGACGGAATCAGCTTTTACTTATGGGGATGAGAAAAATTAAGAAATGCACCGGATATGTGCCATGAAACAGCAAGTGAAACAATTATATTGAGGCACTTTAAAGGATGTTCCAGGAAATGACAACATTTCCGTGCGTCTTCCCCAAGAGGAAACTAAATGCAAGACGTGAAACAACATTCAATCGACAAAAAATTGAATGGCTGCCCATCTAATCATGTTAACATATTTTTGTGTGTGTTTTTTTTTTTCTTTTTTTTTTTTACAATTTTGGGACTGAACATTGTAAAATTACTTATAAAATAGAACCAGTGAGTTGTAAAACAAAACAAACATTGGAGAAAAACTATGGTGAAAAAAATATGAGGCAATAGCAAAAAAATAAAAAAGAAACAAAACAATGTTACATCTTCCCTTTTTGAGTCCATGAGGAACATCAGTGCATGTTCTCTGTGTTTGTCGAATCTGAGTGAGTTTCCGACTGCTCTCCAAAAATCCCCGCCAGAGTTTTAAAGTGAGGCCCCCAGTCACTGAGGTAGTCGTAGTCCTCCTCAAAGTCTACTGCGAGCGACTCGATGGAGCTGAGAGACTCTGCCACCGAGCCGTCCCCCTCGTACGCGTACGTGGCCAAAGAGTCGTAGGGCGGAGCCGAGTTGTCTGTGTCGTGCTCTTTCAGCCGCTGGTTGATGAAGTCTCGGATGTTTGAGCTGTCCTGAGAGGCGGGCGGCCTGGGGCCTCGCTGCGTCTCGGGCTTGATGTCCCTGCGGTACAGGTTCTCCTTGACAACCTTGGGGTTTCGAAGGGTCCCCATGTCAAAGGCGTGTGTGTCCTCTTCCCCTCCTCCTTCGTCGTCGTAGTGGATCACATTATCTCGGATGTCCTCTTTGGAGGACATGAGGGTTTCCTTTTTCTTCTGCCGTCTTAATCCCACGTAGAGCACGACGATAACTGGGGAAGGAAATTAAAAAAGCTCGGTGTTAGAGAAGGTTTTTAGATAGTGGAGCCCACCAGGGGGCGATAGTGGAGCTTTAGAAAGCTGGAGGAGAGATGAGAAGAAAATACAACAAAAACTTTTTAAATTTTTAATTCTACTTTTTTCCATGAAATCTGATTTGCTTTTCAATCATTATAAAACATACACTGAAATAAATTACTGAAATGTTATTTGCCATGCTCAACCTTCTGATTGGCTGAAAGTAAGATTCATTGAAAAATTCTGTTTTCCTGTTAGTAACTGAACTCATTTGTGTAAACTCTATACCTAAGAACTGATTTACAGGCTCTGACTAATCAGGTTAACTGGACTTTGGCCTGTCACGATGATATATTTTGCCAGACCATAAATTGTCCCAGAAGTTGTTATGATAAACAATAATGATGTTGTTTTGAGACCATTTTCAAGTAATGTCATTATAATATAAATGCACCCTCTCAAAGATGAATAAACTTTGATTTCTAATGACCATTTAATACTGGACCTGGAAGACATTTGAAATATTCAAAATAAATAAACAAAACAACAAATAAAATGGGTAAAGTCTCAGTAAATAAAATTGTCCTTCAGAAAAGGGGACAGTTGAGACCAAAGCACCACTGAAGTCTTTTGTCATCCAGTCGTTGGTAGAAGGAGAGACACGAGAAATACAAACTAGGGCTGTTGTAAACGAATATTTTAGTAATCGAGTAATCTATCGATTATTCTTACGATTAATCGAGTAATCGGATAAAAAAATATATAAAATGAAATATTGGTAAATCTGGCATAATACCGGTGTTACTATCAGATATCAATATCAGTCCAATTTTTCATATTTGAGCATCCCTAGCAGTTCCTTTTTTGTAGTTTAGAAAACTAACCTGTAACAATAATAGCTCACTTTCTAAGTTAACCAGAAGAAAAGTTATAGAAAAATCTGAAATTCTATTGAATTTAATAAAGAGGCAGTCTCACAAATATGCTTATAAAAAATGTCTACAATCCAGCTTTTAGTTTAATCTTCAGTTAGTTTAATAGATTAATTAAACTCACCTTGCCACCTAACCTGTCACGCTTTGGGTTTGAAAATACGGGAAATGCCGCCTGGAGTGGGAGGAGAGGGCGAATGAACGAACGTAAGATGGGGTGGAGGGGAGGAAATAGACCAGCGGACTGACGAA